GGGTGGCGTCTGACCAGGAGGGGCAAATAGGGGAGGAGGAGGGGCAGGAGAGGTGTTCCTTCATATAATGCTCGGGAACAAAATTATTAATGGTGGAGAAAGCCAAAATCGTTGAAGGGCAGCAACAGTACAGATCAGAAGGAGGGGGGTCTGTAAGATTGCTAATGCCCCCCCCACATCCCAGGTCTAGAGGTCCTTTAACAGTCCAGTCCGGTGATGTGATTGGCGGATTGTTTGTTTAGAAATCCTTCTCAGTCTGGCACACAATGCGTCCCACCGCGGCCATTTATTTCTGCCGTCGGTACTTGGAGTTGGAAGGTGTACACCCGTCATCCGGTTGGCGGGGGATGGGATGGAAAGGGGGGGGTGTCTGCCTGCCTCTGCTTACCGCTGTATCTGGCCTTGAAGGATTCAATGTACGAGGCGGCGTCATTTTCCTCGATCCCCATCTGCTCCCCCAGGGATTTCGCTCCCATTCCGTAGATGATTCCATAACAAATCTACAGGACGGCCAATGAAAAGGTTGTCAGCAGAAATCACAACAAACTCTTCTCAGCAACAAATAACCTAAAAAGGAAAAGTTTCAGGAAAGTTCGTTACATGACTTCATTTAGATCCTATGACATCATGATTGGGCCCTCCTCTTAAGAGCCCCCAGATCTGATGCAAGCAGTGGGCCGGCTCTTGGGAGGAGCTATGCAAATATCAAAATGCCTTGATGGGTGGATGTCAGTCTGGATTAGTGGGCGTTCCTCAGCAGGCTGAATTTGCATGCAGACCGCCCCTAGGTAACGCCCACAAGTGATGCTGAGCCGCCATGATTGAAATCCAATGAATGGAATCACAGGGAGACCCCTCTGCAGATCCCTGTACACAGGACACCCCCCTACCACATTGGTCCAGCCCGAGTCCCTGCCACATACTGTGCTCTAAGCAAGTGAAGCCCGTTCACCTGCTTGGCGTGCTGTCTCATGTTGTCAGTGACTGCTTCGGGGTCGACCATCTTCCATTCGGCGGCGATGCTCCGGAAGACGTCCGCTCCGCTGTTCAGCACCTGGATGAGCCGCCGATCCCGAGACAAGTGGGCGAGAATCCTCAGCTCCAGCTGGGAGTAATCCGCCGCCAGGACCAGAGCGCCTGCCGAGATCAGGAGACACCGGGGAGAGAATGACCGAAAATGTGAGAAGTGCTGAGAGGGCCGACAAAGAGGGCGGGAGGGCCGACAAAGAGGGCGGGAGGGCCGACAAAGAGGGCGGGAGGGCCGACAAAGAGGGCGGGAGGGCCGACAAAGAGGGCGGGAGGGCCGACAAAGAGGGCGGGAGGGCCGACAAAGAGGGCGGGAGGGCCGACAAAGAGGGCGGGAGGGCCGACAAAGAGGGCGGGAGGGCCGACAAAGAGGGCGGGAGGGCCGACAAAGAGGGCGGGAGGGCCGACAAAGAGGGCGGGAGGGCCGACAAAGAGGGCGGGAGGGCCGACAAAGAGGGCGGGAGGGCCGACAAAGAGGGCGGGAGGGCCGACAAAGAGGGCGGGAGGGCCGACAAAGAGGGCGGGAGGGCCGACAAAGCGGGAGGGCCGACAAGAGGGCAGGGGGCCGACAAGAGGGCAGAAGGCAGACAAGAGGGCCGACAAGAGGACATCATGGAAAATCAGACTCTGTGCCGGGATGAGCTTCATTGGAATGGAGAAGGTCAGGATCACTGTGTCCCCATTTCCTGGTGTCACCAGGGACAGGAAGTGAAGGAGATCTTAACACCAATCATTGGTTTCCATTGGATGAGAGTCTGTGTAGTGCAGCCAATGAATGACGTGTATTGGACAGGATGTGATGGAGGAAGGTAGTCAGAGCAGAAGAGACTCCGGACTCCCTCGCCATGAACTCAGCGATTGTACGGAGCTCAATGGACTCACCTGAGAATGGGACGAAGGCGTGCCGCATGCTGACGAAGAATGACACCCGCTTCTCCTCCGGGATCTCACCCACCCGTAGCTCCGGCAACACCAACTTCTTCTTACCCCTCAATAGGAGAAAATACAACTTTATAGGGAGCCAAGCTCGGTGGGCAACCTACATCTACACAGGGTGCCCCCCCCATGTCTTCCTTAAACAATGCACCACCAATCCCTCCACTGGCTGCCAGCCCCCACCCCCCCTCTGCCAATCCCTCCACTTGCCCAACGAATGCATTTCACAATAGTAACATACAAAGCCAACCACAACTCTGCGCCAAGCTACATCACCAACCTCGTCTACATGCAGCCTGCCTAGGAACTCCCACTCCTCCAGACTGACACCCACCTGAATATTCTGTCTTCTCAACCTAACCTGTTTAATTACAGAGGATGTGATGTCACTGCAGGACCTCAGTGTCTGCCAATCACAACACAGACCATATACAATCCATACTGATCACATCTATTGTTACCGGCGCTTCGACAGGGTGGAGGGCCCCGGGCCCTGTGACGGAGGGCTCTCCTCAACCAGCCGAGGCATTTCAATTTCAAAGTCTTTCGGTACATTCTGGATATTTGGCTCGGTGAAACTCACGCGACCTGAAAGATATTTAAGAAAGAAAAATGAGGGATCTGCAAAAACACCTTCACAGTCCGTTCCTCTAGTGCAAAGCATCATGGGAAGCATAGTCCTCCCTGAGCTGCCCATGTGACTGAAATAGAAGCAGTACGTGTATCCGTGCCAAGGACGCGGGTCTCCTCCCTGAGCTGCCCATGTGACTGCAAAGGATGCAGTACGTGTACCCGTGCCCTGGGACGCGGGTCTTCTCCCTGAGCTGCCCATGTAACTGCAAAAGACGCAGTACGTGTATCCATGCCAGGGACGCAGGTCTCCTCCCTGAGCTGCCCATGTGACTACCAAACATATAGTATGTGTACCCGTGTCAGAGACACGGGTCTCCTCCCTGAGCTGCCCATGTGACTACCAAACATATAGTATGTGTACCCGTGTCAGAGACACGGGTCTCCTCCCCGCGAGCTGCCCATGTGACTGCAAAAGACGCAGTACGTGTACCCGTGCCAGAGACACGGGTCTCCTCCCTGAGCTGCCCATGTGACTGCAAAAGACGCAGTACGTGTACCCGTGCCAGAGACACGGGTCTCCTCCCTGAGCTGCCCATGTGACTGCAAAAGACGCAGTACGTGTACCCGTGCCAGAGACACGGGTCTCCTCCCTGAGCTGCCCATGTGACTGCAAAAGACGCAGTACGTGTACCCGTGCCAGAGACACGGGTCTCCTCCCTGAGCTGCCCATGTGACTGCAAAAGACGCAGTACGTGTACCCGTGCCAGAGACACGGGTCTCCTCCCTGAGCTGCCCATGTGACTGCAAAAGACGCAGTACGTGTACCCGTGCCAGAGACACGGGTCTCCTCCCTGAGCTGCCCATGTGACTGCAAAAGACGCAGTACGTGCATCCGTGCCAGGGACGCAGGTCTCCTCCCTGAGCTGCCCATGTGACTACCAAACATATAGTATGTGTGCCCGTGTCAGAGACACGGGTCTCCTCCCTGAGCTGCCCATGTGACTGCAAAAGACGCAGTACGTGTACCCGTGCCAGAGACACGGGTCTCCTCCCTGAGCTGCCCATGTGACTACCAAACATATAGTATGTGTACCCGTGTCAGAGACACGGGTCTCCTCCCTGAGCTGCCCATGTGACTGCAAAAGATGCAGTACGTGTACCCGTGCCAGAGACACGGGTCTCCTCCCTGAGCTGCCCATGTGACTACCAAACATATAGTATGTGTACCCGTGTCAGAGACACGGGTCTCCTCCCTGAGCTGCCCATGTGACTGCAAAAGATGCAGTACGTGTACCCGTGCCAGAGACACGGGTCTCCTCCCTGAGCTGCCCATGTGACTACCAAACATATAGTATGTGTACCCGTGTCAGAGACACGGGTCTCCTCCCTGAGCTGCCCATGTGACTGCAAAAGATGCAGTACGTGTACCCGTGCCAGAGACACGGGTCTCCTCCCTGAGCTGCCCATGTGACTGCAAAGGATGCAGTACGTGTACCCGTGCCCTGGGACGCGGGTCTCCTCCCTGAGCTGCCCATGTGACTGCAAAAGACGCAGTACGTGCATCCGTGCCAGGGACGCAGGTCTCCTCCCTGAGCTGCCCATGTGACTACCAAACATATAGTATGTGTACCCGTGTCAGAGACACGGGTCTCCTCCCTGAGCTGCCCATGTGACTGCAAAAGACGCAGTACGTGCATCCGTGCCAGGGACGCAGGTCTCCTCCCTGAGCTGCCCATGTGACTACCAAACATATAGTATGTGTGCCCGTGTCAGAGACACGGGTCTCCTCCCTGAGCTGCCCATGTGACTGCAAAGGATGCAGTACATGTACCCGTGCCAGAGACACGGGTCTCCTCCCTGAGCTGCCCATGTGACTACCAAACATATAGTATGTGTACCCGTGTCAGAGACACGGGTCTCCTCCCCGCGAGCTGCCCATGTGACTGCAAAAGACGCAGTACGTGTACCCGTGCCAGGGACGCGGGTCTCCTCCCCGAACTGCCCATGTGGCTTCTAAAAACAGAATTTAACCGGAACACAGAAGAAGATATACTCCACTGATCCTCGGTCCTGCTGCGATCAGCGCTCACCTCTCCCCCCCCCCGCATCCTCCCATCTAATGCAAGTGAATGGACTGTACTATGACGACGCACCAACCCGCGCATGTTAAATCTCAGACGCACCCAGCCTGCTTCCGAGATTTTACATCCCGAGCAGTTTATATCCAATGTCAGTGGAAAGATCTGGAATATCTCTAAGTTACTACAAAGAAAGAAAGCAGAGTCTAGTTGTCTCTCGACACTGGTGAGGCATATTTCCTGTTCTTTCATTCCGTGAAGAGAAGATTTTGGGTCAGTACAGGAAGGTGTGATGGGAGTGCTCAGCGTGGAGAGGAGGAGTCGGTGGCCCACCTGTGGCGGTGTGCGTCTGGGAGACGGGGTAGATCCGCTCCATGCCCAGCGTCTGGCTGTAGCTTTTCTCTCTCTGTAGCGGGAAGACCACTTTGGTCATGGCGTTGGTGATTCTCTTCCACTCCAGGATGAGGCCGGGAAGAGGGTGAAGAGGCCTCAGCTTCTCCAGGACGTCCTGACGTAAGTAGAAAAACTGGTCAATAAAGTTGTACTCACACTGCTAGTAGGCCCAACGTTTCGGTAGAGGAAACTTCTCTCTAGGGATGCACCCAAATTACATTTTTAGACCGCAACTAAAAGATTTGTCAGGCCAAAACTGAAAATGAAAAAGGTTTTTTTCAATTATTTTTTTCTTTTCTTTACTGGCTGGGGCTCTGGGGAAATATCGGGGGTCTAAACAGACCCCCGATACTTCCCTTTTATAATAGAAAAAGAGATTGAGAACACGGAGTCCTCAATCTCTTTTTCTGCATCCCTTGTTATAAATGAACAGGAATCCTCTATACTGAGTCTTCCTGTTCATTCATAACTTGAGGACAGAGTATGTTTACCATGTCCACAATCACAAATGAACGGGAGGTGATGTAGATCACTTCCAATTCATTCATAATTGTGGATACAGTAAACATACCATGTCCTCAATTATTTACAAACACTCAGTGATCACTGATTTCTGATTTTCTGCTCACTATCCTGACTCGCTGTCACAGGTGAGGGGGCTTAGAAGGAAAGGAGGGATGTGTTCTAGGGGCATGGGAGGGAGGCGGGGGTTTATT